TCTCTGTTTTATGTTTCGGTTCCTAAACACGCATCAAGAACGCTATTCGTCAATGAATTGCGGGTCCAGAATTAAAAACTCTTTTAAGGCAAAAAGGTCTGCTATTATCACATAGCAGTATTTCTATAAAATATGATACATTATGTAACGGTGACAGAACTGAACGACTGGAACGTTGTGTCTGCTAGCTTTGTATAATGATATAATTTTGTTCCTTCGCATTTCTCAATGGTCTAAACAGGAAAGATAGGATTTACCTACGATAAACTTTAGTACGCGTTGGAATACCCCTAATTTTGCTTCTGGCATTTGAATACAAAGGACTCATCGTCTGAACCTGATATGTATGGGCTAGCTGTTCATTCGTAAGCAACGCAAGTTATCAAGTCGCCCAAGCTGCAAAGACAACATGACTTATCCCGAAACAATTTCCTCTAAATCTGTTACTGATACAACAAATAATCATGACGGCTAGACATACAATGAGAAAATTCGTTTCGTTGCAGACCAACAAAAATCGTTTGGCTGGTACAAGCAATCATCGGTAGTAAACAGCCAATGGCAATTTTAATCGAACATGGTGCCGAGAATTTCTTCAACTTAACAAGGTAATATGATTCTTTACGCACTTTGGCATACACGGAATTCACTTGATTAGACAAATCTAGAAGATCATTTAAGAGAACCTTCAGATATTTGACAATGTGAGAGCTAGGGATCAAATACACACAGTTTTTCAGTGACAGTGAATAGTGCATCTCAAAATTAAAACCAGAAAACTGGGGACTACATGAAGTACATTCGCATAATTTAACCAAACTAAACCAGACACTTACTCCTCTTCAGAAACCTTTCTTGATTCAAAATGGCCAGTGCATTTATAAACAGCAAAATAGACTCTAGTAAAGTATACAACGTAACTGCCATGGACGATATTATCTAAAAGTAACAGCGATGCAAAAATGAAGTAACAAAACTAACTGTAAGATAATATCATTTAAACTGAAACAAGGATATTCTCAACTTCAACCAACTAAGCCTTTAAGCCAATGAAGATCAGTATCATCACGAATTGGTTTCAAAGTAACGAAGATACAGCAGGCTGAAGTTACAAAATACTGATTCAAACTACCTTAAAATTTGCCCACACTGAAATACTGCCACTGATGATCAGCCGAACTGAAAACCGACTGCTATTCATAAAATTCAAGTTTAAACTCGGAATGGGATGCTTTTCGGTAGGATTAATGCATCATATCCTTCCGATCATTTGCTGTCCTGCACACAGCTGTCAGGCCACAGGCTCTTAAAGACCCACCGAATTTAGCCATTCTACTCGTTAACCTATACCGACATCAATATTTGGAGCACACAAAAGATATCGGAAACGTTTTGATACATCTGAAAGCAAAAAAAACAGGTGGTGATCCAATTCCTTTCAAATTAACGAATAATGGCGAAGCAGAAATAACTCAGAAATCAAAATTCCTATTTTCATCAGATATATGCTTAAAAATATTCTCGGAGATTAATCCATTATAACTATTATATTCCAATCCATTTTTGAATTTCTTTGCAGAAATAGAAAACAAAAAAGAGAGTACGTAACCAGCCAACACGGTCGTTTATTAAACGCATCTAGTTAAACAAACACTACAACATAAAAAATCCATAAAATATTCAAACTTGGTTTCTTACCTTGCATCCATCCGAAAATTCATTTAACTGTACAGCTGGAGGCCTAGTCTATATGCTGCCTAAATATCAATGTGAGCAGGTTGCATCTCAATTACTGTTTTGCAAATAGCAACTGATCGAAACACGTATTAAACACAGACGCGGTAAACACACTTTCCTCCAGATAGCTCAGTATAGTTACTTGTTAAAAAAATAATACAATTCTGAGCCAAATGTGACTCGTTGTCAACATGCATTACATGCTAACTTGAGCCGCTGTATATTGCAATAACGAGCGGAGTTCGTAAAGATGACTGTAGCACGATGCTATTTCGATCATCCTATTTGCAATAAACAAATTATTTCTGCGCCGTTATTTATTGAAAAATGCATAAGTTACCAGGCATCCATTGCACTGTATTAATTTATATCTAAAAAGTTATCGAGCAATATATTCATTTTCCCAAATAAAATTTTCATTACGTTCGTTTATACGGTGGATTTAGTCGCTATCCTTCATTTTTGGTGCTGGATTGTTCTGCAGATTGAATTCTTTAAAGCTTCTAGCTATTCTTATGGCAAATGTCTTGCTCGCATAGCAGAGAGCGGCCTTTTTCGCATTGTGACACCAGAACACCACGCAGGTTTATTAATTTCGTTTCATTTTGGGATAGTTATAGCGAAGCAGCGGTGTGAGTTCCTTGCTCAATTATCAGTTACAGAAATATTTCGGTTATCAAATAATTATGCCGATAATAGTGTGGATCGGAATAGCAGCCATTCTAAATGATTATCGCACTGACTCTTTCATTTACTGATCTTACCATGTACTTCCTGGAATAGCATTACTTATAGGACTTTATCTACAGATGGCTACCTTCGAATATTTTTCTCAATACCCACCAGATGACAATGAAAGTTTTGTAATTTCAAACTGTTCTTATTATTACATTATGACTAAAGCGGAACTACGTTCGAAAATGAAACTCTCTGTGTTAGGGTCAATTTTTATCCCAATCCTCATTTTTGTCATGAATCTCAGGCTAGACTGAAAAATTGCAATTCCGGATAAAGGCGGCTGCAACGGGCTTTCTAAAATGAATCACTGAAATCAGGTATGTCGAACGCTGATTCTACAAGATGATAAGTCAAATATGCGATAATTTTAGTACGTTTCTGCAACGCTTCCAGGAAAAAGGCGAAACAGTTTTTGCTTGCTCAACTGACGCATCGAAGAGTGCCTTGAATTACCTGTTGCATGGGACTCGACGGACTATGCTCTATATTAATTTCGGCCTATGCTATAACAGTGGAACAGGGGCTGCAGAAAAATTAGTAAATTTTTAGTTGCTGTTGCCTTCTCTGTCCAGAAAGACAAACTGTCATCGAATACGAGTGACTGCTGATTTTTAATCAGCTATGAGATTAGTAAATGTGTGTTCAGCTGTAAGGCGCCGTGTTAAACTTTTTTTTCGCATCCTCAAGCACGATTGCATTAAAATATTACGATGCCTCCTATAGTTCGCAGATCACTTGTTTGCTACACGTTTCTCAGCAAAATGCACTAAAGTACGGTAGTATGAATTGCTTACAAAATAGAATTAGCCGCTAATAAAATATATTTTAAGCCATACTTAAGCTGGAACTCTGAACCTGTAAAATTTCAAGCCAAGTTAGAATGCATTGGGTTACTGCCTCTCCAAAGTAGCACGCTTCACAAGAGTTACTATTTCTTAAAAAAATACATTTGATCTAATTTTCATCAAGTAAGCGATCCTTAAATATTTTCTATGGCTCATACCGAATCCGTGTCTTAAATAACTTGAACCTGATATGTTTCCTGATTCTATGGTTTATAGCATGTGAAAACAAGATAAAATGATGACAGGTAATGACGACGATGCATTTCAGTTGAAATGCTGAAATTCCTGTAAATAAAACTTTTATTTTGTTTTCTCGTGCTGGCAACTATGGATTCAAAAGGCCGATAGCCTTCAGGAATTACTAAGTTTATTTTTTGCTGGCGGTTATTAAAGCTGATAAAGAAAAGAAGTTTGTAGAAAGCCGTGTAAGTAGGGGCGTCGAAACGCAATATTAGTCACACAAAATGCTGTAACTGGACTTTTCGCGACGTTTTGCGAAGATTGAACCTGCAGGCAGCAGTATCGTAATCACAGACATTGCTTAGTGCGCAATCGCGTAAAGTATTCATACTAGCTTATTGCGTTTTTGGAAAGTGGAAAATGCCTGGTTCTGTAGCATCAGCCGAATAAGACAACAAGTCAATAAAAGTAAATACTCCCAAAGTTGTATATTAGTTGTTAAGATACAAGATTGAATGCAGTGTCTTTTAAACAAATGTCGAATGTATGATTAATTTTTTCTGTAAAGAGTCTTGAAACATCAATCTCTTCTATAAATGCAAATGATGCAGTGTGAATTATTGCTCTTCTTATTAGGTACAGGTGTTTGTGTTAAGTTTTAATTCGGAATCTGGCTTCTTACGTTCTTGTCCTCAACTTTCATATTTAGTAGCATCGTCAGTACGAGAATCACTGCGCACATGAAGTGTAACCTCTGACGATGCATCTTGAGATTTTCCACAGTCTGTAGGATTGCTCGAGTGAGTTGGCTCATCCATACCTTCCTGGATCTGCTTCTGTATCACCATCAGGAAATCGACTGCAGAAATTCATTGTTAAAACTTGCTGCCACTGCTAGGGCATGCCCGGTAAAAGCCCATATTGGTAGTTTCGCCACATGATTTGACAGGATCGCTCTGCCATGGCAGATTACATTAGTGACAGAGTCATTTTCCTGTGAGTTCGGCAATCAGATCGTTCTGTTCCATGTTCAGGGGCCGCCTCTGACTCTCGATGTGAAATACCTCAAAGTTATCCATATGACTGTTTGAAGCAGCTAAGTCGCTTTTACCGAGGCCGATATTTTGCAGATATTTGCATAATCTGTCCGCATCTAATAGTGAATGAAGTTGATAGATTTTCCGCAGTCTAGTTGTTGATAAATGAGGTACACCACAGCTTTCTCGGAGGAATATTCGTCGTATCGCATTTCATGTTTTTGTCCAGAGATGCAGGCAGCTCGCGCTTATGTTATCACTGGTGATGTTGATGAGGAAGCGGTGTTAACTACATACGAGTTTCTTTTGACAAATTAATTACCCTGTCGAACGGCACATACAGCTGTAATCGTAAAATTGCATCTATCGTAAAGAAATTACCGATAATTTTACACTCGATTTTTACTCTTAGGTATAGAAGTTAATAAGTTTTTGTTACAGCGAGGATCCAAATTCAAATGGGGTGGCCTTACGTTTATTGACCTCTGCTTGACATGTTACTATTCAGATTAATTCGATACCTGTTGTCCGTAATTATTTATTCACTAGTCTCACTATGATAGATTCTACTCCGTGCTCCTTGGAAAATTGCATCGGTATTTTAGCCTTCTTGTATAAAAAGTTGGCCATTCTAATCCACCTCCGTCATTACGTAGCGACACCTTTGTTCGAGATTCAAAGATTTCTTTTTTGGCTTTTGCTAAGAACAATGTTATAGTTTCCAGCATCTTGTTCGACAAACAGTGTGAAAGTAAACGGTGAAGACACCAAGATGATATGCATGCATTTGACCACGAACACCGCTGTTCACTCAGAGTTTTGACAGTAGGAAGAGTGACAGATGAGTTGCTTCGGCTGCTGCCAGCTGAGTCGACAAGTTTTCAAACCATTAATGACACATCTAACTTCCGGTCTATTTCACTGCCCAATGTAATCAGTACTAAGGTAATTTGATCTTTAGTGTTATTGACTGACGACGGGCCAAAATTTGTATAACGAAGGGGCAGGATATTTTTTATTTGATGAAATGAAATTTTATTTGATTAGGACCTGCTTTCCCAATTTGTTTGAGAATTCTACAAAAATGGGTAGCTCAAAGATAAAGGTATGCATAAATTTGTGATTGTTGTAAACCTCTCGTAACGGAGCGAAATTACCACAATCTTTGTTTTCATTACGATTATTTTATTAATACGATGAGATAATGAAAGATAGTAGAAGTTAGGTGCATTTTGTAGATACTGATTTTCAGGACTTAATCTGTACATTTGTAATTCGAGTATTCAGAACTGACAGAGTTTTTCGTAGACCATCTGGAGGAAGTTTATTCAGGGCACTATGACTGATTCAATATTAAAACAACTTTAAATGTCGTCTGATAAGCAGATGGCTTAAGAATGGGTGAGAATGGACAGATGATAAATGTACGATATGCATATTTGATTTGCGACGGGTTATTTGGCATGGAGAGCATTCTTTAAAGAAATTAAATGAACTGTTCATAAAGCCAAACTTTATAGAACTCCGGTGTTATTGCCGGAACGAGTTGACTTTTCTTGAATTATGGCTGTAGTTTTCCTGTTTTAAAGGAAGCGATTTCAACTAAATCACAAAGTAGCATATAAGATTATTCACGTCACAAATATAGGTCGAAAATAGCATCGTGATTAAATAATAACAGTCACGATGGCACAGTGTTTGAGAATATCAGGTTATATTAACTTAGATGTCACCTTGCAGTATTGCATATGTTAGAAATTAATAGTGTTATAGCTAAATAGAACAAAAATGAAAAGAATGCTATAGAAATAGAATAAAACAGAAATGGAAAGGATATTTGAAAAGAGCCTTGTTTGGAAATGAGTTAGGCCGTGAGCAAGTTACTCTGTTGATGGTTTTGCTTTTATGATGTTGTGCTGTTTGTGTTATTAGCTAATTACTGTTTTTGTTGCATCACGTGGCCTATATTCATGTGACCTGTTTACGGTCTGTCATACTCAGAAGAGTAATGCCCAATCGTTTTTCATAGTTATCTTGATGGTTACTGTCGAAGCTGTTTATAAACAGCCACGATGAAAACCGTAGGATTGGCCGCGAAATTCCACTTAATCAGCATCACTTTCAAAGCAACATCGGAGCTGTTTTCTAGATATGCTAGCGAGTGGGATAACAAAAGTTGTTGAACAAAGTTTTATGCCTAATTTCGACGGTCATGTTAAGAGGGCATAGTGATTATGAAAAACTTTTCGCTCTGCGAGTTGTACTTCTTTTTTGCTTACCTGACTAA